AAGAAGAACTGTGTCATCATAGCAATGAATTTGTTTGAATAATTTTAAGTCATCTGCTAGTAATAGAAATTTGGAGTGTTTTATAAACGCTTGATATATCATAGATAAAAAGTAAGAATAATATTGGTGATAAGTGATCGTCCTGAGGACACCAGATGTAATATAAATATTATCTGAAATAAAATTCTCGTATTTAAAAATAGTTTAAAAATAACTAAACTAGGTTATAGAATTCGTAGGATTTAAGTTTTGAAATTAATAAATTATGATTCACTTTATCGAAAGCTTTTTCGAAGTCTGTGAATATAACATCAGTTTGTGTTTTTTCTTTGAAAGATTCTATTATCGATTCCTTAAAAATGCATAAGTTAGTTATGGTTGAACGTCCTTTTCACTATTCGGATCTACATTTGGGTGACATGATTTACTTTTATTGTCTTCTGCTGATCTATGATTTATCATCCACAAATTCACATAATCTTTGGAATTCCACTTTTCTAATGAAAACTTTTTAAATGAAAACAAATTTGAATTTTTCATAAAAAAAAAAAAAAAAAATAGAAAAATAATAATATATCCGATACCGAATCACATCATAAATATAACCAAAATTTTAAAATTTTTACTATTTATATTTGTCAAATTACAAGATATAAGCTAGATACGGCTGTATACCCGCGTATCATCAATTTCTCATAAGCTATACGCCATGGGTAAAAATAGCGTATTGGGTATATGCCGTAAGGCTTGACACCAGAAAAAGAGATATTGATGTCTGAGATGTGCAGGAAAATGGAGTGTGACGTATTATGCGTTTAAGAAACGCACGGATCTAATCAACAAAATAGATTCAACGTAAAAGGGATGAGATTAGTAGTGGAAAAGCTACAACCAAAATACGAGAGCGCAATATTCGCACACCCAAGTATAAATGTGATATCAACATGGGTTACCAATAATCAAGACGTGAAAATATTAACAGTCAACATCGAATAGTGTACAATAACATCTATGTATAAACCTCCCAATATAAATTTTGAATTTACTAAACCTAATCTTTTCACAGCAAGGGAAATAACATTTTTAATCGGCAATTTCAATAGTCATAGCACTAGCTGGGAGAATACAGATAATAACGTGGATGAAAACGCGGTTGAAGAATTAGCTGAACGAAATCATTTGTCTTTAATACACGACGCAAAACTTCCGGCGTCCTTTAACAGCGGACGTTGGCGAAGAGGATATAATCCGGACAACATATTTTTAAGCAAAAAAATAGAAACTCAGTGTCATAAGTATATGCTGACACCTATACCGAGATCTCAACATAGACCTATCGTATGTCGTACCTATGCGGAGATTAGACCTGGAACCGTTATTTATGCGCTTACCACCTTAGAAATAGACCACGTGAACAACCCTAAATACTTAGGAGTAAAACTGGACCATGCGTTAACATATAAAGTACATTGCGAAGATACAGGGAGAAAAGTTGCAACAAAAAATAATATACTCCAAAAATTATCAGGGACAAAATGGGGCGCTTGTCCTAAGGTACTTCGAATGTCCGACCTAGCACTTTGTTATTCAATCGGAGAATATGCCAGTTCAGTATGGCGTCTTTCAGCACACGCCAAAAAAGTAGATGTAGCCTTGAATAATACAAATAGAATAATTATTGGATGTCTAAAATCCATACCTGTAGGAAAAATATAGATTTTAAGCGGGATTGCTCCTCCAGATATCAGAAGAGAAGTAGCAGCGATGGTGGAGAGGAAGAAACAGATAAATGATCGCAGACATCCCATGTTTGATGAAATTCAAATTAATAAAACCGTTTATCAAAACTAGTGAACAGAAACCGATCACAGAAAGACCAACACTAATAAGATTAAAAAAGTGGCAGGAACGAGTCACCGATAGCGATAAAAATACAATATTGGAACATCCGACAGAATCCTTACCCCAAGATATAACTTATCTTAGCGCACATGAAAGACAATTAATAGCATACGATCGGAAGTAGGAAGAACAAAAGAAAATATGTGCAAATGGGGAATAACTACAGACGCAGAATGTGAGTGCGGTGAAACACAAACAACAAGATATTTGTTGGAATATCCAATGCTACCAGTGGAAGGAGAGATCGGAGGTTTTATAGGACGATGATTGGGGGACAACGCAATAAAAATTGCTGATTTCTGGGGAGGGGAGAGGAATTTAAAATTACCACTGACCGACACGAAAAGAAAAAGAAGACTACTACTTCTATCACATCTGTATATTATTTAATCATCTAAACCAATTCTGTTGATAAGATAATGTAATTTAACCATGTTTCAGTAAAAGCAAGAATGGGATACAAAGATAAAGGAGACATTAATTTTAAAAAAGATAATTTATTACATAAACTACGTACATTTTGATGGTAAATACTTAAGTCTAAATTGGAATATTCTAGAAGTTTTTTGAAATGTTAATAATAGTAGGGATACCTTTTATATATTTGATTATAAGATTGTTTTCATTGTTATTCCAACGACGTTGAAGTTCATTTTGAAGAGATGTCATATATTCACGTTGTTTTATTATCCGGTCCGAAGTACAGCGAAAGTTGCTCCATTCAGATGAAGTCCGTAAATTTACCTGTAATTGTAAAACGTTTAGAACCTCTGACGAACTGTGTAGAATAACTTTTAAAGGTCGTAGTTTTCCAGTTGAGTTAGTGGTGACTTTGCCCATACGTGAACACGAAAACACGAATACATTTGCATTTAATACTTTATTAAAAATATCATTAATTTGAGTCTTTTCGGATGATTAAGGTTGATCAGAATTATTACACTCGGGTAAATTGAAGACTATAATATTGTTTGCTCGCATTTGTCTATTTATTAATTCAGAAATAATGTCTTGTTCCGGAGTGGTTGAGTTAGATAGTGTATTACATTCAAGAAATTTTATTTTTTGCTCGAGAGCTTCAACTTTTCCTTTTAAGACTTTATTATCTTTTGATAGAGTAGACACCGTTTTAAACAATTCTTCAAATTTATTGTATAATTTATTAAATTTATCACTTTGATTATTCAAAAAAGAAATAATTTTAAACATAAAACTGAGATTTTAAATTTTTTATTGAAGCTATGATTTCATTACATTTGCTCTCGTCCATGATAATCTATAGGTTTGAAATATGCGATTAACAAAATAATATGATTACAGTGTATGAAAGAGATCAGAGAACATACGTTACACACGACCTTTTCGATCGACCGATATCTGTAGACTGTGATATACTCTAGGTACAAGTAAATATAATTGCTTATGTAATTATTCAACCTTGTAAGGATATTCAATAATATAACCCTAATATAACTGTATTAAATTTAAAAAAAGAGAAAAAACTTCTTTTTATAATTTAACTTTAAAATAGTTTTCGTTAAAAATTCATCGGAAAACTTTTCTCAACGATATTCAAATAATAAAATGAATTTTTCATATCCTTTATAATGTAATAATATTGTATTCATGCGAATTTGTACTTACAAAATTCATATAAGATAAAAATTGTTTAAAATACAATAAATGAGTTTTTATACATTATCTATTTAATAATAAGTTAATTATTGAATTTAATATAATATTTGACAATATTATTATTTAATTATGGCACTTATCACATAGTAGCATATTGTATTATGCATATCTTATTGTTCATATAAACTATTAACAGTAATAAAAAGACTTAAAAAAACTGTGTTTTAACTTTATTAACCTTATGATGAAATATTATTTACGAGTATATTCAATTACGTAAAAAAATATTGTAACATATTCTCGCAATAAAATCAATATGTCGTAATAAGATCTCACCTTACAAAGTAATATTTCCATTATTTATTTGAAGATTCTAATTTTTTTTTTTTTTTAACTTTCTATTCTTTCAATAATTATTTTAATTCTTATCAATAAATATTATAATATTAACTAGCTAATAGCAAGTTCTGTTAGTTCTTACTCTCCAGATGTAACATCATCCATATTAATGCAGTGGCGTAGCCAAGGAAGGGGTCTAAGGAGGCTATAACCTTCCCCTCATGGATCGTTTTTATGTGCATGAACTATACTAGTATTATTAGTATTATTGAAAAAATAAATAATTAAATAATTTAAGTAATTTTAGAATTTTTTAGAAGTTAATAAACAATTTTACTATTTATACATTTGTATTTAAAGAAATAAATTATAATTATTAAACAAATTATAAATGAATATTAAAAATGTTTATTAATATTAATATTAATAAAAAATATAAAAGTAAACGTTTTTTTATATCAGTTGATGATTATGTAAATCTAAACAAGTCAAATATTTTCGTACAATAATACTTCAAATAAAAACTTTAATTTTTATTTTGTTTAATAGTTTTAATATTTCCATACTGAGGTATTAAGTCAAAAAATTATAAAATTTTGATGGTAAAATTCTATGCTGTTGGCCAATTTAAATAAATTAACTGTATTCCAATAGTATGTTCATAAAATAATTATGATGTGTATTTTATTCATATATGAAAAAATATATTAGTAAACATTCAAATCTATTCATTCTATCAAGGTCCAAAATGAATGTTATTTATTTATTTTCATATGAAATGTCTATAGAGAGAAAATTAAAAGTATTATAATTAATGTGTACAAGAAAGCATCTCAAATACTTATCACGTGCCATGTCACAAGCATACGATGAAGTACAATACTAATAATAAAATTGGCGATAGTACTTCCTTTTATTATCTATTTGAAGTGCTTTTTTTCTTAATATAACACTCTGCTTTCAAATCGCTCATATTATATGAATGTATATAAATGAAGAATATTTGCCGTACAAGTGGTATTGTTAACTACAACTGTGTTCTATGGTGTTGTTTATTTCTCTAATAAATTATGATAAATAATTTTAATTTAATAATTTATGTGTAAATAAGTATTTTGTAATATTATTTAAATAATTGTTTGGAATGTTCTTTTAAAAAAAGTGTAAGTTAAATATAACATTTAATTTTTATTTCACAAAGTTTGTACAAATATCATAGTTTTTTTTCTAAAAAAAAATTAAATTAAAAAGTAGTTAACTTTTAGCTATAATTAATAGTTTATATTTATGTTACAATTTATTTTAATTTACTCATTTTTTTGCCAATAATTAATGTTTAATGTGATTTAAACGCTTCTGTATGGATCTCATTGTCCTTAATATACTTACAATATTATTTAAAGTGACCGCAAGTGTATTGACGTTAGTGAGAATATTGGCAATTAGAATTAATAAAAACCTATTTTAACCGGAATCCTTTTAAAATATATATTTGAAACACATTTAAATTGTATTCTGATTTGTGGGATTTAGGAATAACTAAATAATAGAGGTGATGTGATTGTTCATGGGGGATATTAGCTATACAAAAGGAAGAATTTACATGATCCTCATAAAATACTAATCCTGATGTGATGGATATGATACAGGTGTAATAACCTCTGACCCGAAATTTTGATAATGTTCAACTAATCTAATGATAGACAGTCCAGAATATATGAGGCCTCCAAGGTACCACACCCATTCCGTGGTTTCTCTCACCATAATCCTGGCAAAAACTGACGTATGAATGTTTGATGGCATGGCAATGTTTTTAGTTATTTTAATATTTGCATATTAATAAGTATATACATTTTCTACTAGTATGCAGCTATCGGCGGAAACGATGCGCGTCAAAATTTGTAATTTTTGATTAAACATAACTGCTTATCATTATTACAAGTGCACCATATCGTAATAATTATAACTTATATTTATATTACATAATTTTCTAAAAATTTTATATTTATAGTCGAATTTTCTATGTATGTATCGAATGTTCTGAAAAGTAAAATATAGTTTTAATTTCTTAAAGTTTGTAATGGATTTATCAACTGTATGATTTTTCCAATAAAAATAAATAAACTACCAGCTGAAAATAATATTTTTAATAGTATTTTATTTAAAAATCGTTAAAACCATGAGGTTGTTAAATTACGTGCTTAGAACTAATATAATTCAATATTAATTTTAATATTGAAATTAAAATACTAAAACCAAACTAATATATTGTTTCAGATCAGTATTATATTCTACAAACAACATGGAAACGTTTGAAATTTTCTTCTTTTTAGTACTCGCTCACACATGTGCAACAGTAAGTGGAACTGTCGATATTCCTGTGAAAACGCCAAACAATGAATGGTGGTCAAAAACTATACTTTATCAGGTGTATCCTAGGTCATTTAAGGATACTAATAAAGACGGCATCGGAGATTTAAAAGGTTGTATTTATTAATTAATTCTGAAAAATAAATGTATTTGCTTCTGGCAAATTTAACATTAATTGTATATACAATAATCAGGAATCACGCAGAAGCTTGATCATTTCGTTGATCTTGGCATCGAGACATTGTGGATTGGACCGTTTTTTAAATCACCCATGGATGATATGGGATATGATGTAGAAGATTTTAAAGAAATTGATCCTCTGTTTGGTACCATGGCAGATTTTGAAGAATTGATTTTAGAAATGAAAAAACGAAGTATGTGTCATTTTTTTAAAATAATTTAAATTAATTAATATCTTAAACGATTTTTTTCAGATCTAAAGTTAGTAACAGATCTTATACCGAACCATTCAAGTTATAAATCTGAATGGTTTCAAAAATCAATCAAAAATGATCCCGTGTATGCTGACTACTATATTTGGCATAATGCTTCGAACCAAAATGAAGTTCTTAAAAATTCATCAATTAAACCAATACCTCCTAACAATTGGGTAAACAAAAGTACAGATTAACAGTAATCAATTAACTTATATTGCGTACAATAAGCTAATATGATAAAAAAAAAAAATAAATAAATAAATAGGTTAGAACAATAAGAAAAATAGGTTAGGAAAGAACACCGATAATTATTTTAAAAAAAATGTAGTAATAGGAACGTTTAAACCAACTAAAACCGTTTATATTCACATATTATCAATATTGTTTTCGTAGATGAGTGTATTTGGAGGGTCTGGTTGGACATGGAATACAGAGAGAAATCAATTTTACTATCATCAATTTAGTCCAAAACAACCAGACTTTAATATAAGGAATAAAAAAATTCAACAAGAATTGTTGGTAAGCTTATAATTATAAATGGTTCCTATAACGTTTCACTTAATTAAACACATTTTTTTTTTATTTTTTTTTTTATAGGATATAATGGAATTTTGGTTGGATAAAGGCATTCTTGGATTCCGAATCGACGCTCTAAAACATTTATTTGAAACTGAAGAATTAACAGATGAACCGTTTTTACCAGGAAAAGAAAGTTCGACTAATTACGATGATATGATTCACAACTGTACTGTAGATCAACCTGAGGTCTATGCACTTATTCAGGATTGGAGAGAATTTGTGATTAATTATGCTACTCGCAAAAATCTAAATATGTCCATGTATGTTGTTGACAGATATAAGTATATTTACTTTGACGAGATTCAATTCTTCTATTCGTTTCAACTTATTCACATAGATTAGCTTACGATAATTAAGATCGAAATAGATACAAATTTAAACAAAAACTTATATGATAAACCTTTTGAAAGATTTCTAGCCACAGAATCGTACTCGAAAATAAATATATTAATGCAATACTACGGAAATTCAACGAGACCTGGAGCTCAAGCACCATTCAACTTTGGATTATTAACTGTTGATCCAAATAAATACGTGGATTCTATTGAAAGTAAAATTCAAGTTTGGATGAAAAATATGCCAGATGGTACTATTGCCAACTGGGTGGTAAGAATTTTAAAATAACATTTAATTAAAAAAAAAAAAAAACATTTATTATATTCCATCATATGGTTTACATAAAAGCAATATTCTCAAACAATACAGTTATTCTTTCCATTATTTTATATTTAGTTTTATAAAACTCGTACAAGAACAATAAATATATTGTATAATAGAAGATAATTTCAAGAATTTCGAATTTAAGCTTTTATTTTTGTTAATCTTTTAGATGGAAAATCATGACAATTTCAGAATACCGACTAAATTTGGTCCTGAATTGGTACAGATGTTTAATGCTCTGAAATTAGCTCTTCCCGGTATAGATGTGACATATTATGGTGGTGAAATAGGCATGCACAACACATTCGTGAGAAAAGATCAAATAAAAGATCCTAATAATGCAGGTGGTATAAGAGCAGATGAATCAAGAGATTATGAAAGAACCCCAATGCAATGGGACGACTCGGTAAATGCAGGTTAGTAAATAATTATCAAATAACATTATAGGCCATTATGGGCTTTTCAAAAAGCTTTAATTATGAACTGTAACGAAGAATGTATCCGAAAAAATGTACTGTGTCGGAGTAGTCATTACCAAATTGTATATTCTATATGTTGAAAATAAGCTACCAAAAATCATATTATTGCTTAAATATTCTTGAAGGTTAATTCTACTGCATTAAAATAAATGTCATACGAAACAAATTTTCAAGTTGTTATTAAGTACTCAATAACTTAATATAAAATAATAAGTAAAAACAATTTAAATTTAAAAATTAAAAATAATAATATGCTTATTATAAAATACTAATACTAACAGCTTAACAATTTAAGATAAATTATAATCCATTATTATTTATAATTATACAATGAAATGGTTTGGACTTTAATTTAAATCTAAATAATAAATTCGTAACTTTAAATGCCTTTAAGGATTCACCGAAGAAAAGTACTCGTGGTTACCAGTAAATCCGAATTATTACCAAGTAAATGTTAAAACACAAAAAACTATTCCAACAAGTAACTACAACTTTTACAAAAAAATGTCTCAACTTCGACACACTGAAACATTGAGACACGGTGGTCTACAAACGTTCAATATTAGTGATTCGATTTATATTGTTAAGAGGTATTGATGAATATCATTTTAGACAAAATAGTAATCCAATTTGATGACATATAATCCGATTATCCTTTGTAATTGTTACGTTTTAGGTATTTACCCGATCATGAAACGTACCTAGTCGTGTTGAACTTTGCTAGTGAAACTGAAACGGTAATCATATCAAATGTCATAAAGAATATTGAGAACGAGACCTTATATGTATATTTGGCGAGTGAAAATTCTGCGTACACCGAAGGGTAACTTTTGAATATTCTTGTTAAACAATGATAATTTCTAAATAATTGCACATGTGATTGGTTTTTTTTTTATGCATTTTTGTTTCTAGCTATACCGTATCTGCCAACTCTTCGAGTGGACATCTATTGGTTCTGCGACCAAAGGCTGTTGTCGTGTTAACAAATAAATTTATCGAAGCACCAGTAATACAACAGACCGGAAATAGTGGGACACAGATCAATTGTACAATTATTAGTTTTATCTGCGCTATTATTTTCGGAATATACTCTCAATAAACTCTTCGTTTATAGTTGTATAGTTGGTTATAATTTATTTAATTTAAGATTTTATAAGAAAAAAAATGTTGTATGCCTAATATTCGTGGCGTGTGCGAATGGTTTCTTCAAATAAATCCAGCCTTTTTGATCAACACGAATTATATATTGTTATAACTCAATTCCTGAAATTTTAAAAACGATAAAAACGATACATTTAAATGTATTGATTGGCTTGTTTATTAATAATGTTAAAACGGTTTTCTCAGCATTATATAATGATTTACATCTCGGACATAACAAATTCAAGTAATACGAACAATTTGATAGATTGGTTTGCCTTTGATCTCTGAATTAAATTTTCTTTATGAAACAAATTATTGATTATGGCATAATGGAATATATTAATTTTGTAATTTTTATTTTTTTTCGCTTCTAAATTGTGTACAATGAAAAACTCGTTTACATAATGCTTATTTATTATGATGTGTTTTAGTTACTTAATGTGTTGTATTTTAATAGATCCATAGATAATTATTTACTTGTTATATTGTAATTTCGTTTTATTACTACAATGAATGACAATTTGTTTCGTTTGCTTATTTTACAAACTCATTTCGGAAAATCATCCTTCGTGCTGCCTGAGTATAGAAATTATTATTACACAAATATTAGTTATATATGTCACGAACTTACCTATAATAATATTGTTGCGTTTGTTATCGTTTATACCCATAATTATTAGAGTGATTTTACGCCAAAGTCGATGAAATACTATAACAATCCGAGAGCTCTATGACTTAATGCATAATGTTAGGTTCATATTTATATACAATTTAAAAATATTAATGTTTATAACATTATTTATAACATTTATTAGAGAATATGCAATCTGTGATAATAATTTCAATAAGCATACATGTGCGTACAGAGAATAATACGTGTAACATGATTTCTTGAAAAGAGCAGCTGTCCAGCAGTAACATTCAGATGCCACAGTGTCTACAACATACACATCATTTTAGGTGTGTTCAAACGTCATTGAATGTGTTTTAATAATACTGTTGTACATTATTCTTTCCAAACATTTTTATCGATATCTAAGAATAATATTTATTTTTAATGATATGAATATTCTCCAAAAACTTTAAGTTGAAATATATTATTGACGTATAGACAGCTATAGTATGGAAAGTATGCAATTAAAGTATTATATTCTGTATCATAAATAAATATTTTATGTTAAAGAGATCGTTAAAAATTGAAAAAAAAAACTAATTGATTAAGGAATATTAAAAAATATTAAACTTACTTCGTAGTTGAAATAAAATTATAGAATATTTAAGACAAGCCAACGATTTACTTGATTTTGAAAGGATTTACAGACGTAGAATATATGATTTTGATTTGTAATTATAAATTTTAAATAAAGTCACTGTGTGTTGTCAAAATATTGAAGATTTATATTTGGCATACAATTTTTATTCCTTATTTTTATATCCTTATAAAATATTGACAATTGGAACCATACAATAGTTAATAATTATAAAAAAAACTATTTATACGAGAACATATTTTTGTGCATAAAAATAAAAATAAATACTATTTGTATATTTACATTTCACCAGCAATTTTAAATACGCTTGGCAAATCATATTTCGACTGATATTTACATTTTCCCTTATTTTACATTAGTAGGAATAAAAAATAAAAATGGTTAGTTTTTAAAGCACACTTTTTTCTCGTTCAATTTCTTATTTATACTATATGCATTCATATACTACTGCTGTGTAGTGAAAACTGGCAAAAGGGAACGCGGGTTCTTTATTCTTTCCTTCCTGTTTCCTTCCGGATCCCATTCGAATGCCGAGCCTCTCTTGTTGGACCCTTCTGCAAATGTCAACCCCAGCAATAGGCAATATTGTAATATTTCGTTTGTACGTTGGATCACACATTTTTCTCCCTTTCTTCTGTGTCCTTAGCCGTATTTCCGTCGGTTTATTTTATTTTTTTCGATCTCCGGAGAACATTTTCGTAAATGTGAAAGTCGTAAGTATAATAATTACTCGAAAGATACAAACGAACGCCAAAATTAGTGAACAAATGTATGATGCCGTTTAATAATTTTTTTTTCTATAGTATTATCGTAATTATTATTATTGAATTAAACTCGTAATGCGGTTATTTATTTTTTTCGTTCGAGAGGAACACGTGTTAATGTATGAAGACCGTGCTTTGTGTTCGTGGTTTATGTGTGAACCATTAATAGGATTACTGAAACATGGTATCGTCGTACCCCTTTAGTTTCTACCCCACAGAGATATTATTGAATAGTGCGTTTGTTTTTTT